AATTTTCTTTTTTAATTAAAGAAGGGTATTCTGATTATTTAACAACATTCAGAAATTCCTAATTAAATTTCATGCCTTAGTTAAAAATTTGTTAAAAATATAAGTCTAAATCTAGATTTAGGTATTTCAGCTGAATTTAATTGGTATTATCCTATTTAACTCAAAATAATAATAATTAAATGTTAATTAACTTATTTTAGCTGATAAAAAATTTCAAAAAGATAGAAAATTACATGTTAAAATATGGATTTATCATAACAATAAAAGATGACTTTTAACACTTTAGCCTGGAAGGAAGGGGGAAAAAAAAGATAATATGAGTTTCATATCACATCTTTTAAAAAAAAAAAAAATTAAAAACCGTTAACATTTTGCTCTTTTGTATTGTCATCCACTCATCCAAATCTTTGAGAAATCCAGTCATCATAAAAGAAATTAGTTATGTTTGCGCTTAGCCATCAGAGGCTTGGTTACCTCCTTCCAAATTATAAGGCTTCAAAGACATTTAAAATTTAGTGCTTTTTAAAAAAACTATGAAAGTCATTTAATCAAATCAAGTATGAAGGGTGAGGGCAAGTAAGAACATGAGAAAGACGTAAAATAGGTTAATGAATAAAAAGGATGATATCATGCCCTTATGAAAACTCTTAACCCACTGCAAATCCAAATATTAAATTTAGGATGGACATTCTAAGTATGTTGAAGGAATGATCTAGAAATTTGATATAAAAAAAAGGATTGGCGTAAGAAAGATTGATATAAGAAAGATATAAAACAAAATAGAGAACAGAGTAGATTATAAAGGAAAAGGTAAAGAAAAGAGAAGGATCTTGCATAAGAAATATTTAAAAGAAAATAGAGAACATAAAACATAAAGAAACAATGTAAATATCAAATAAGAATTAAAAGACTACCAATAATTACACCAAAAAAATGAAATAGCCTCTTTCATGGTTCGTATAATTTTCTCTTACAATGGATAATCATTCCCTCCGTCATGTATTTCAAATTGGAAGTATAAGCAAGTTCAAGATGAACACTGCTCTGATATCAGTGTAATAAAATGAAAAAAAAAATGAAAAGAAAATTGGGATGAAACTCATCTTATTTTGATAAATGAGAAAAAATAGAAAGAAAATAAATAAGTAAATATAAGAATGACTAAAATACCCTTATTATAAACAATTATCAAAGAAACTAAATAATTTAATAAAATAAAATTATTTTTCTAAGTTAAAAAATGAATTTTTTTAATAAAATAAAATAAAAGGAAATAAATAAATTAGGCATTATCCAATATTTTAATAAAACAATAAAAATTAAATAAAATGAAAGACTATAATAACATGATAAATTGATATAATGAAAATGTCACTAATAACACCATTAAAATTAATCTTGATACTTATAAAGTAAGGGTAATAAATGAAAATGTTACTAATAACACCATTAAAATTAATCTTAATACTTATAAAGTAAGGATAATAATAGGTTCTCTTAAGCTCCTTCGCATTATCATCCGTCAGTCCTCGGCCCAAGCCATGCGAGGTTGGCTTGCCTCCCAGACCATTCAACTTAAGAAATATTCAATATTAACAGTTACTACTCTATCCTAAAAGAAACTAGGAAAGTAAAAGAATCAAACTAAGTATTATGCACGGTAAGGGCAAATAAAAAAATAAGGACACAAAAAATAGCCCAAAGACCACAAGGGATGAGATTATCCCTTATAGACACTCTCATCCTACACATGAGCTACAAGCCCAGAAATTAGATTTAGGATTGACATCCTGAGAATGCTGAAAGGATGATTGGGAAACCTAAAAAAAAAGAGGAGAAAGGATCGAGGAGATGTAATTTAAAAGAAAATATAGAACAAGAAACAATGTAATTAAACATAGAAGGACTAAAGTTGATAGCAAAGAAGATTAAGAAGATGTAATTTTTTTAAAAAATATAAAATAGAAAACAAAGTAAATAACAGAAAATATGAGAAACTTATAGTTAAACTAGAGCAACACCACAAGGTGTGGTATGAGAGCAAATGCACGAACACAAATATAATGCCCCTACGAAAACTCTTAACCCACTGCAAATCCAAATATTAAATTTAGGATGGACATTCTAAGTATGTTGAAGGAATGATCTAGAAATTTGATATCAAAAAAAGGATTGGCATAAGAAAGATATAAAACAAAATAGAGAACAGAGTAGATTCAAAGGAAAAGGTGAAAAAAAAGAGAAGGATCTTGCATAAGAAATATTTAAAACAAAATAAGCTCTTTTGCATTATCATCCATCAGTCCTCGGCCCTAGTCATGCGAGGTTGGCTTGCCTCCCAGACCATTCAACTTAAAAAATATTAAATATTAACAGTTAATACTCTATTCTAAAAGAAACTAAGAAAGTAAAAGAATCAAACTAATTATGATGCACGGTAAGGGCAAATAAAAAGATAAGGAACACAAAAAAAATAGCCCAGAGACTACAAGGGATGAGATTATCCCCTATAGACACTCTCATCCTACACATGAGCTACAAGCCTAGAAATTAGATTTAGGATTGACATCCTGAGAATGCTGAAAGGATGATCGGGAAACCTAAAAAAAAAGGAGGAGAAAGGATCGAGAAGATGTAATTTAAAAGAAAATATAGAACAAGAAACAATGTAATTAAACATAGAAGGAATAAAGTTGATAGCAAAAAAGATTAAGAAGATGTAATTTTAAAAATAAAATAAAATAGAAAACAAAGTAAATAATAGAAAATATGAGAAACTTATGGTTAAATTAGAGCAACACCAGAAAAGGTGTGGTATGAAAGCAAATGCATGAACAAAAACATAATCTCATGAATGAAAAAAGTGACTAGTAACACACTAACCGAGATGCAAAAGGCAGGAAGCAGATTAAATATGAAATAAAGAACAATTTAAAGGAATCATGTACTTAAATATAGAAGGAACAATGTAATCAAAATGAACAATGCTCTGATACCAATATAAGTTTATGGTGCGTATATAGAAGTCGTGAATAATCTTCTATACCCATTTGAAAAATGATTGGACAAAGTCAAAGTTTTGATTTATAGCAATTATATACGTAGAGAGAAAGAGAAGAAATAATACTTCTAGTACACAGAGGGTAAGTGAGTATCACAAGTTACACATACATATCTGAAATAACCTCTTCCATAGTTTTTATATTTCCCCTCACATGGTTCCCTCTCCCAATTCAAAACAATTGTAAGCATAAATAGCCTCAGGGCTGACGCTACTTTAATTTTAATGAGTTGCTTGTGTGTGTTAGGAAGCAACACAATCAATGATACCATGCGAAAAACTGACCATGGTGATAGTGTCAAAGTTTTGATTCAAATAACATTTTTTTTGGTTTTATATTTCCTCATGATAGATATCCATTCCATCCATCATACATTTTTCCTATCTTGTCACATTTTTATATTTTCACTTCTTTTTAATCAGGTTCTTTTATGTATATATATTATATCAAGTCCTCATATTAATACTTGAAAAAATGGGGTGAGTGTTGCAAAAATGTGGAAGAGAGAGAAAAATAAAAGAAAACGAAGAAATACTGTGTGAGGGAGGATAAAAGATGTTTGTGTGTGTGTTTAATGGAATGAATAGAACGTTGTTGACACCATATATATATATATATATATATATATATATAGTGGGAAGGGAGACACTGGAACAGTAGATATAACGGACGAGGTAAGAAAAAGAAAGGGGGGGAGAGAAGATGGAGGGAAGGAAAGTTTTGCGCGTGAAGCACTTTTTTAATTGATTTTATGGTATACCAAAAACTCCTTTAAATGAATAAATTATTGGTGTAATGTAGATGCAACTCCATTCATCATTACCATACTTGAAGGAAATTAAAAAAACAAAGTTTAAATTAAGTCTTTGTTTATATATGATTAATATATAACCGAGTTAAAATTAAGTCTATGTCTATATATGATTAATATATAACGGCAAACAAACTTAGATTAGAAAAATGTAATTAACAAGGGGTAAATTATCATCTTTCACGAAAAAAAAAAAAGTTTTTAAAATTATTCAGTTGGAACGACTCACTCTTGTAGTTGATGTTTTAAATGAGTGATTTTAAATTCAGGTGTTTGATCAATAGCCTTGTATGACTCTGATTCATGTATGTCTTTACTCTTTAGTGCGTAGTTTTTTCTATGTGAATGAACTTTATTTATGTTATTTATTAGAGGAGACGGATGAGTCAAGTTCAGCTGCTAAGGAAGAATTATTTGGTATTTTGGAATTCTCATGTTATTTATAAACTGTCCAATAAATTTACAACAAATAAACTAGTACTCATTTTATTTTTTCAAGTGTGTACACAGATTCATTACACAACATCATTTTAGGACTATTTTATATAATTAGAACCATTAACTCCTACATTAACAAAATTTAAGAGCTTTCACATACGCACCAAAATTAGATTCCCACCTTACCTCCTTTCCTATTTCCTATTCATGATGCCTTGTATTTCTTGGGACCATTCAAGAAAGAAAACAAATCCAATAAAGGAAAAATCAGTCATTAGGTTTTCATAATTTTGACTCGATTACAGAAACAGTTCTAAAACTCAATATAACTTAATCCTTATAATTTTAATTTGATTAAAACATATTCCCTAATCTTTGACTTCAGACAACTTAGTAATTTAACTATTTAAAAGATTGGTCCTTCATGTCATTATACTTTTATTTTCTAATAGAAACTAATTTTTAAACAGTTAAAATTATAAAAACTAAATTGTACTAAGTTAAAGTTTAATAACTCGTTTTAATTGAGTCAAACCTATAATGTCTACGACAGAGTTAAAATTCAATTGAATTATAACTGAGTTAAAACTACACGGGTCAAATGATTAATTGTTCCAAAAAATAATAATAACCAGAACAAAAACATCTTGTTTCAGACAAAGATTGGCTAAAGGTGAACACATCCAATCTAACCAATTTCTTAATTTTTGTCTCTCTTGATAAATTACCGGGTCCATTGAGAACAAAATAGACATGAACGAAATTCCCAAAATACTTTTAAGCCAAAAGTCAATCCGATACGACACAAGTTTGGGTCACTTGTACAGCACTATCATGTTAGATCTACAAACTTTAAACACTACTACTAACAATGAACTCGTGAAGATCTAACTACAAAAGTAAACACTGTAGATTACTAACTTCACACAGCAAGATTTAACTTCAAAAGGCAAAGCCTTCATTAAACCTGTCCGATCAAAAGGTCGGATTGAACCGGAGACGTTGCTCATAGAAGTTGATCAGCTGGAACAAAAGAGCAGGCATTAGATCAAGGCATATTTTGAGGTAAAGTGTTAATCCACCAATTCGCAGATAGATATTAAATTACCAGAAGTGGATTGTTAGCCTTAAGATACTTGTTATCCACCTCAACTTCTGTTCCATCAGACCTGTAAAGCTTATTATATTAGTATTAGCTTCATTGTGTGAAAAACCATGCAGGGTCCTGATTGAAAAATCAATTTCACCATATTTTCCCTAATTATCTATGAGCAAGAAAAATTCACTGTAGACTGTGGCATTACAATTTTGACATTTCATCTCCAAATGAACTTCCATCACTAATAATGTAGATGCAACTATGTGTTGTTTATGCTAAAGGCCTTAGAATTTGGGCTTTCATTATACTTATCGAGAAAGATATTAATAAGCAAGCAAATGCATAAGCATCAACAAGAAACATACATAGCTGACAAGTTCTCGAAATTAAATGAGTAAGCCCACATGCATTCTTTTAAGACACATGGTCAAACAATGCCAATAATAAGTCATCCCTCACAAGATTTTGAAGACTCTGACAGTTACAAGTACATGCAACCTGTTAGCGCACCAAACAGCCAAACAAGAGGCAAAGCCTCTCAAACCCGGCAACACTCACTAGCACTTTGTCAGGCAAAAGATATTTTATGTGTAGGTGATATTTTTCCCTCAGAGCTAGCCCTAGTGGAGTACTCCAGAAGCCTATACTTGTCCTCCTTTGATTTGTACAGTATCAATATTTATGCATTGTATTGGCACTAAAGATACAATAAAGAGAAATACAGAAATGAATATGCAAAGTTATTCATCATCTCTTGCCCTCTGTTCTTTATTCACTGCATATTTTGTTACAATCAAATAAAATGGACAATAGATTGGCAGAACAGCAAAATGATCTAATAGGGTTAAACCATGTCAACTTATAGAAGCACCAAACTTATGCTCTAAGATCAAATAGGTTATTCAATTAAGGATGCCAAGCAATGAACTAATAAAATGTCACACCACTCAAGCCAGTCATTAAAGCCAAAAACCTATGACCCAAACGCGACCAAGCATCACATGATTTTGATTATTATTGTGATAACTTATTAGTAATCAATTCCTGTCTGCAACAATGTGTAATAAAATGCTTATTGGAAGTGACTGAAGTTTGGCAGACTAATATCCCTATCTGTTTAAGTTTCTGAAAAGCTGTCTTAATTTTGCATCATAAATTAATGCTGGTTGTTCATAAGTGAAACATATATTATTTGGAAATATTATACTCCTCCGATCCTAAATGTAAGACCCTTATACATACTAGTATAAGGGTCTTATATTTAGAACCGGAGGAATACTTACTTTCCTTAAATAGACATACTTACCCTGAAGAAAGCTTAAATTATTTCAGAAAATATTCCGGGTCATGCAATTGTGGATGTTTCGTCAAGTCAAAGGTATAGAATATGAAAGCTGGACTAGTTAGTTGAATGCCTAACCTCATGGCCAAAAAGTTCACTATAATATCTGGTATGTCGCTGGATACAGAAGCTGAATAGCTCAGTGGCTTTATAATCTTGACGATATTATAGGATGTTTTAGCATCACCCATCTGGTGACTATTATTTCCCCCAAAATCAGCAATTTCTGGCCATGCTTGTCCAACTATGATAGCCTGATTTTGAGCATCATCAGGTTCACACACATAAGAGTCTTTCTTGAACCTCTTCACAGAACCAGATTTTCTCCTCTTGGCTCCTCTGCAGCGACCGCTTTGATTCAGTCCCATACTATCCACCTTAGATTGACCATTCATTTCAGCATTGGCTTCTTGGATATGTATTGCAAGCTTATTTGAATTGACCCCATTGGTTGTCATGAATGATGTTGTAGCTCTAAGCTCTGTAAGTTTAGGATCATAATCATTTTCCCTTTCAAAATTAAGTTTTGGAACATTCACACCCCGATTTTCATTAGCTGGTTCAGCTTTTCCAAGACCGCCACCATTACCATTTTCTTCCACTTCATCAGCAAAAATCACAGGTTGAGGATGAGCAGGAAGATCAGCAACACTAAGATCATTGGCGGGAGCAGATTGGCAATGGTTGTCAGCTACACTCTTTGCTGAAAACTGTCTAAGGCTATAAGAAGTGGTTGAACGATGCTGCCTCTTCTTGGGTAAAGTGTGATGAACTGCATGCTTGCGCTTCCTCTTTCGATGCTTTCCAGATCTCAAACTGCAAAGTAGAAAGAAGGAACATACATTTGAAAATAGAGTAACCGAACTATTCATAATGTCCCTCCAATTTCTTGAGTTCAAGAACTTAAGACAAAACTTTGCCTTTAACCATATAACAAATGCTCATATAAGCTTCCTGTATGCCCCCCTTTATAAAGAAAAAATTGAAAACTAAGAGTTTCATTTTTCATATTGTTTATATATTAACATGGAATCTCTTTATCCGTATAGGAAGGGCATACCTGGCTTCAAAAGCTTCAACAACATCAGGGACCGACTGTAAGTTTTCTGGGGGCTCCCAAGTGTTGGCTGTTTCAGGCCAATCGCGCCTTCAGAGTTAAAAGAATAACAATCACATTTACGCAGATTCACTAACTCCCTCCATTTTCATAATGGAATAAGAATCAAAAGACAAAGAAGTAAAAGAAACACCCACCATTTTATAAGGTACTCGAGCTGACCCTATATTCGCAACATTTGTATTTCACCCCAAAGAGGGGAAAAAAAGAAAAAGAAAACCACAGTCAGACATAATAAAATCAGGGGAAAAAAAAAACTCAATATGCTCTAAAAGATCAGAAAAACCAGAAATAGGTTCTACATCTGTACCTTACGAACCCTCTTGCGACGTATTGCTTCGATTTCAAAGTACCCCTCATCAAGCTTTGGACGAACACCCTCCTGGGGCACTTTATCCGCAACTTCTTCATCTTCCTCTTCAGCCTCAGCTTCTTCTGAAACTTGCCCTTGAGCTTCGTCTCCTTCCACCATCTGAAACTGAGTCTGATCGTTTCCAACAGGAGGAGTTAGCAGGTCATCACCTCCATTGCTAGCAGCAACAACGATACCAGTAGCAGCAGCAGCAGCAAAAGTTGCAGAATCTTTCGGTGCCTCCAAATTGCTTCTGCCTCCTTTCATATTAGAGGTGAAAAAGAGAAACTGGGACGAGAATTAGCTTAAGGAAGAAGAGGAAAGCACAGTAATTTCCGTCTGGGGTTCATTGAAACTGAACTATTTAGTGGAGGAACGAGTGAATGGCATCCTTTGGCTTCAACGGCATTACATAGAGATGAGTGAAAACACCCAGGGGTCATAAAACGCACGCCCAATTAGGAAACGACAGTGTTTCATTTACTCTAACCACACCTTTTGCGTGTTCTATTCTCTCTTTCCTTTTACAGAAATAAAAAATTATTTATAAACAGTTAAAAATTTATTAGGATATCTCTAGTCTAGATTTTTTTTTTTTTTAAGATTTTGAATTATCATCTGATTAAGTTATAAATATTTAACAGAAAGAGTATAATCAGATGTTTCCCGTTTATAGTCTTTTCAATTTTTTTAATTAAAATTTATTGACATATGATTCCCCAAAAATGTATGGATAAAAAAAAGATCTATACAGATAATGTATGTGTAATATTTTCATGTATTTTAATTGAAAAACTTTGTTAAAACTATATAAAAGATTTTTAAGCCAAAAATAAAAGTAGAAATACGTGGCATAAGCAATGTCGTTTCAAAGGATAAAACGACAAAACAAAGTTCTTATAGATCTTAAATGAGGAGTCAAATTATCGTCAAATCTGTGTCAAATTATGGAGACATTCACGTAGTTAGACAAAAACAAGAGTTGGTGCAATGGGACTGGGCTTCATGTGAGGGAACAAGAAAAACATGTATGAGTAATAAATTCATGCATGTTATTTTAAATATAGAAGTTGGTTAAAAAAATCTTATTTTGAATATAAGATTTTAATCTGCAATCTTCTAAATTTACAGTTTTTTTACATACTCCATTCATTGCATATTATTTTTTTAATCTTTGTAAATTATTTATTTAACTCCTATATTTGAAATTGCAGAGAGTTTGATAAATCAAATTAGGACCAGATGAAATATTAAATCAATCCTTTAAAAAATTTAAATCATATGCGTCCTATTAATCTTGTCCTTTTGGTCTTGTTAGGATGCATTCAAAAAGCAGGCCTACCCTTTTATACAATTCGATGTCACAAGAACGTTTAATCAAGAGACAACCTCAACCTGATTATGAGTTTCTTCATTTGCCAAGACCAGATTATGAGTTTCAATCTTATGAATGATGGAAAAAATACTACATAAGTAAAGGATTCACCAATTAAAACTTGACCCAACTAAAGTTTGAATTAGTCTGTCGTATTAGATATTAGATGAGCTGATGCCTAAAAAAATTTTAGTTTGGCATGTTAATTACATAATCCAAACACTCATTATGCATGGGAGATAAGAGGAAGATTTTAGAAGTGAAAAATTTTAAGTTCTTGGCTACAAGCAAATACTTGGATTCAAAGCATTCCACAAAAAAAATGGAATAACCTCTAAACCAATAATTAACCTCTGTGTACATCCTTCTCTACTATAATGAATACTATATTTTTTAACTTATCTCCTCAAGACTATAGAAAAAATGGAGGAAAAACATACGGCTGGGGAAGCTATCAAATAAGGTCTGAACATTGATTTCTGATAAGGTTAGGAAACCAAATATTGCTGCAAATGCTTGGTTCTCCTCTTGTTCTTAAGTTTCCTAAAAGCACAGGCCTCTATTTGTCTAATTCTTTCCCTACTCACCCCCATCATTTCTCCTATCTCTTGTAAGGTCTTCATTCTTCCGTCATCCATGCCGAATCTCCATCTTATCACCTGCCTCTCTCTTGGATTCAGACTGTCCAGTACAAGTTCCAGATCCTTCTTCATAAATTCCTTGATGAGCAGCTCCTCGGCTGTTTCTGCATCTGGATCAGCGATTACTTCCTGATAGTAAAACACAGTCACGTCAACAAGACAGAAGGGTATTGACATTTGAATGGGAAAAGTTTGAATAAGACGAGGACAGACCGAAGGTTTAAGATTCTGGTTGATCCCAATCTTTTGTTCCAGTGATCTAGGAGCTTTTGGGGTCATAAGAACAGCATTTAGCCTCTTCATGGATAGTCCAGCTGCCTCAGCGATTTCTTCATCATCAGGTTGTCTTCCATTTTCACTATACAACTGTTTTCTTGCTTCCTTCACTCTGTAAGATGCCTCCACCATGTGAAACTGTCAAGTCCAAAACAACACAAATCAATTCATTTGAACAAGTTATGTGTAGCATAGGAACTACTTTGATATAAGGGCAACAAGAAAGTAATAATCATTCAACAATCACAGATTACACACCGGCAAGCGAATTGTCCTTGACTGATCAGAAAGTGATTTCCGAACAGCTTGTTTAATCCACCAGTGAGCATAGGTGGAGAACTTAAAACCTTTTGAAGCATCAAACTTCTCAGCACCTCTCACAAGGCCTCGACATCCTTCCTGTGAGTCAATGAGGAAAAGCATATAATATTCATTGCTAGAAGCATCAAGGTCATCATCACCATGCTTTACATGATATTCTAAATACTTCCTATTTTAGTCCACTAAAGATGACCCAAACATTCAATTCGCTCCCTCAAAGAATTTGAGTATTATTATACAATCTTTCAAGAGTTAGATGTTCCATGGAATTGAAACAAAAGCAATCTTTCAAACAACAAAGTGGTACAAAATGTTATAGGGAGCAAAATGATACTTGAGTAATTCTTGAGGACTAAAATGGGATTTACCTCTGACAACATTTATTTACCATAAGAGTATACTGGTGAGACAAAAACCTGGACAAGATCTTGGAGATTCATTCCAGCTCCCTGATAATTTTTAGCAATTGATATGACAAGCCTTATATTACTCTTAATCATTTTGTCCTTGCAAAAGGTGCCATAATTTAAGCGCTTTCTCAAGGTTTTCTGATCCCCTCCTGCTGCTGCAGCCCATTGAGCGAATGTTGGCGGACTGCCACATCTTTCTGCTAGATCATCCTGGAGTTTTTCCAACTTTAGTAGGTCCTGAAATATAAAAAAGGAAAATAAGATAGGCTATAAAATGAATAGAGAAATTTAATCCAAAATGAAAAAGATACTTCTAGTTCTCTAGTGATTCCTTGACTTCAAATCTTAAAAGCTCTACAAAGTCACGAAATCTTATGATGGTGATATATATTTCACATGAGTAGCTCTATTATTATTAAATTAATAATAATAATAATAATAATAATAATTTTTTAACTTATGTTTTCCTTTTCTGCTCTCAGTTACAGAACAGATGACAAAAGGGAGAGCTTGAAAAGCTTCCCTGTATCCTCAATTCTCAATAACACAGGAAGTAATGTATACCTCTATCTGTGACTACAATTAAGCAAAAAATTTGAGAAACATTACATAGCTATGAGAACTTTAAGACAAGTCTAGCAGCAAACAAAATCTTCTTCATTTTGAGGTGGCACTTTCTAAATTCCATTAAATGCCAGCAAAATAAAAATTAAAAGAACCAGAAAGAAATTTAACCAACTTTAGGACATAGCTACTCATCTAAAGTAAATCATTTGAAGCAACTGATAAGAAATCTAGTTAGTGATGCTAAACACAATATCTCAAAAAGGCTGATGCCAATTCGAGAAAATTTTAGAATGATAACTAACATAGATGCCCAAGATACATTAAAAAAAGAAACAAGAAACAGCTCCATGAAGATTATCTGCTAAATATTAAGTGATTAGCATCATAGACATGAACATCACCATATCACACCTGTATTCCTTCAGATAGCTCAAGTTCTTCAGTTGGACTAAGAAGTTTAGTAGTGCTAGTTGTTGCTCTTAAATAGCGTAATGGATCAGTATAGTCTACTTCTTGCATAGCAGCACGTTTTTTACGGCTAGAAGATCCAGACTTGAAAGATAGAATATTTGTGGAAGCCCTCTCAGCTGCCCTGGCTCTTCTAGCTTTTCGTTCAGTTTGGCGCTTTGACCTAACAGCTATGGTGCCAAAAAGATGTTCCTCTAGATGCTCAAGTTCCTCATTTGTCAGTTCCACATCATCAGACTCCTCTTCATTATTATTTATGCTACCGTCTCGCATTGTCTCTGCTTCCGTGCCCATGGACCATCCCACTAGACCATCTTCAGCTTCCATACGTTGTACCCATTTAAGAAGTAAGTTATCAGGTTTGGAAGAAATAGACGGTTTATACTCTGATTCTGCTGGGGACTTATTTTTGGCTAGCATAGCTGCATCCTTTGCGACCTTCAAAGCTGCTTTAGCAAGGGCAACAGCTTCAGAAGCAGCAGCAGCTATTACAGCCTCTTCACTAGTAATAAGAGATTCTGCAGCTAAAGTTGCTTTAAAGCTTGCCTGATTAATAGCACAAAGCTAATTAGCTACTGGAAAGTTATATATATATACATATATATATATTAAAGATTTTGCATGACTTAAAATCTTTGGAAATACTCCAAAATTAAGAGCTTGGTCAAAACTCTCAAATTGAATATCAACTAACCTGCATATAAGAAAACTAGAAAAGTTTACATTTCACAACAACACTGGTTAACACAAACCAAAATGAAGAGTGACTGATAAAGCGAGAGAAATTTTATTTACCAAAAAATCAAGCAAATAGTGAAATTCAATTGCATATGGCCCAAAAAAATTAATAAAAATTGGTACTTAATGTTTCTCAACATTATTAGAGTATAATACTAATGCAACAGTACATAAGACAAATCCAATCATAGTATATCACGTTGCACTTCAACATCATTAGGCAGCGCATGCACAAATAACTTGAACTGGTTTGTCAATTGAGCACCTCAAATGCAAACTATTAGGAATAGATCACTTTCAGCGCATGTATTATGTGTTGATCAGGCAATCATGGAATTGATATAATTATTATGTCGAAATATAATTGCGTAATCTAACCTCCGTGGGTGGACCAGTTGGACCAATATATGTCCAAGGTCTGGTTGCAGTGATTGAGTCAGAATTACCATCTATAGGAGTTAATGCCAACTTTTCCAAACTGAGAATTGCTGCTGCTCCAGTTGATGATGAGGTAGAAGGAGGTGTGGCAGATAAAAGACAATGTGCCTGGAAACACAGAGTTTCTCTATTTTTTGCTGC